AATGTGTTGACTACTGTTTTACCTGATTGAGAGAAATCACAACATAAATCACTTAATGGACCAGTTCGTAAGTTACATATTTTTTCACGATTTGTTGTATTTGGGATTGATAAATTATTTGAATTCAAATTACTATTTGTCTTGACAACACATTTTCTTTCTGAAAAATCAACTGTTTTGCCAATATTAGCATCACTGAGGTCATTATCACTATTCATTAAATCAAGGTCAAATATTCCGTCTGCCCGTGATTGACATTCCTTCTTTCCTACTTCTCCTAAAACTAAATCAATAATACGCTTGGCAACAAAAAAACTTTCAGCACAACTAAGGAACGGATGTTCACACTCATTCTCATTCTTAGTTATAACTTTGTCTATAACTTTCCCAACTTGTTTTGCGTAACGTTCAAGTAACGTTGAATGTCCCTTGGATAAGGAAAAGTTCTCATCTGGGTATTCAGAGTAATGGCCTAAATTTTCAACTGAGCCAAGGTATGATTCATTTACATGAGAGTTGCCACAATCATTCTCATCTGTAGTTTGGATTTCCGGAGCATTTACAAATGTGTCAACGCCTCCTACTAAAGTACTATTGTCTGTTCTTATCCCATGCTTGTTTGAGACTAACTGAACTTCTTGGTCAACATCTGAATCATTACTTGTTATCATTTGGCTTATTTCAGCTCCTTCTAAGTTACAATCAATGATGTTCATTTCTTCAATGTTACCTTCACTTACTATATTAGTACAATTTTCAGTGTTTGAATCTGCTGTAGAAAAAACACTTTTAGAGGAGGCCTCATTTGATGAAGTAACTTTGTTGTTTACATGTGATGTGCCAAGTTCATTACCACAATATTGAAAAAAATCATCAGAGACGTGAAAAGAAAAATTGTTTAAATTATTAGTATCTTTTATTATTGTAGGAATATTTTTGTAAAGGCTTTTATGAGATAGAAAGTTCAATTCGGAACTTTGATCACAACTATCTTTACTATCACAGTCATTGACTATTTGCTTTTGTTCGGCCAATAAACACCCTACTTTTGATTCAGCAAAAATATCACAGTTACTCATAGATTTTGCTGATTTGAGTTCATCCATAATATGATTCATTGAGTTTTTGTTTGATGGCAAAACTAGTTTTTTCTCCACTTGAAAAGAACTATCACAACTTTGAGTTTGGGTTGTAACTTGATCTATGTTATCAAGTTGCCAAGAAGTTGTAATTTTCTTGCTAACAACTTCATACGTTGGTTCCTTTTTGGAGTGCGCAGGAGATATCTTTAATCTTTTCCCATTACTTTCTTCCATGACGTTTTTAATTTTTCTCTTAGTTAGGACATGGTCACAATTATGAGTTGAAATTGATTTTCCCTCCAAGAAATTAAGCTTAGCAACATTCAATTGAGCTTTTCTTTTTTTAAGTTCTTTGATTAACTGTGTCATGCCACTGTCCCTATTCAGTTGATTGTTTGTTTGCAAATTATCTTCTCGTAGGCGGTATTTGTTTAGAGTGTCGAACTGAATGTCTTCCACACTTGAGCCTGAAGAGTCTGTAGCAGATAATGAAACAACTTCACAAACTGTTGGAACTGGAACATTATTAGATTCCACCTTGATCAGTTGAGGGAGAGAATCTTCAAGCTGGTGTTGACCATTACCACAATCACAGTCATCTACACAAAAAAATACTCAAGTGTCAAAGCAAGAGCTGGCAAAAAAATGTACAAAAAAACAATGACAGCTTGTAATGAGTATAATAAAAAAAAGGTTTTTTACCTAATTTATAGCAGGGAATTCAATGTTAATGACATGCTATAGTGTCTTTATCCTCAATAGTAGGTTATTTTCCTCAAGTATTATGCTAGTGCAGGAAGAGTGCATTTAGTTTTAAATGAATTAATAAAATAAGAAAAGAACATTGATTCTATTACACTGAAGCAGTAGAACCTTGATTTGTTTGCTATTTAAAAATTGCAAACTAAAAACTAAAGGTGTGCAGATATTTTTAAAATCGGGTCTGATTCAGTTGAGAATTTGATATCTTACATTTATCCGTTAAGGAACCAACTTTTTTGAATAGTTTAACGTTTTAGTATGAGAAACCAAATCTGTATTATCATTATTAGTTTCCCAGGACGTAATTACACCATTAAGTTTACCACAGCGTAAGGGTGCGCTCTACCTCAGCTCGGATTTCTCAATACGAAGTTGCTAAACGTAGATGTCCCTATACCATTGCATTGAACAGCGCTTGCAAGCATTTTGAGTATGGGTGATTACATAGTTATCCTTCAACTTTTTAGTAAACTAACTGCAGTATCTTGTTTTTAAGAATCTATTGCACTTTTCCCATTTTTTATTTTTTCTCTAAAAATTGTTTGTATGCGTTAAAACTTATGATAAAAAACGTGTATTTTACATTTTTAACCAACCTTTGAGCCCAACATTTTTTGAATTATCAAAATTTTTAAAAACGGCAAAACTACAATAATATTTAACGAAAAATATGACACCAAGATCTTTTAAATCGGTTCACAATTGGGGCTACAATCAGTAAGAACTAAATCCCTTGCATTTGCGCGCGCCAGACGGGTAGAGCGCAGCCTTAACGGAAGTCGACAAACAATTGTACAGTATATGACAATATCAAACTATTTATGATTGCCATCACCATACTTAAATCAACAAACAAAAATATTGTACAGTAGAACCCGGTAGAATATCCGGCCACCACGGAACCAAGCCCCTGGCCAGATAACCATTTGGCCGGTTAAACCAACCTGTTAAAAAAATTTCAATTTATACCTAATTCTAATGTATAATCAATAAATAAGTTACAGTCAAAAGTATTGTTTAAGTCTCTTTTGGGATTTTGTTTTAGAATAATACACATTTTATAAAACCATCAGGAAATATATTCGTAGATTAAAGTGGTTAGGTAAATAATCATAAGTATATTATGATTGCAGATAACAAAAACTAATGTTAAATAATGTCAGAGATAAAAATGACTCACAATAAATTGACCTTGAAGATCATTAGGCCCTAAATGGTACATAATTTTCTGCTCAACTGTCTTATTAATTTTACTTTCTCCCCCTATACCATAGTATATGGAGAAAGAATTGTTTTCGTCAAAATTTTCGAGTTTGTGTTTTGAGTGGATATATCCGTTTTGGGTCCCCCTGGACCCAAAAAAGTGGTTTTCGAAGTGATGTCTGTGTGTGTGTCTGGATGTGTACAGAGCTAGGGACTACACCTGTGGTCCGATTTCGATGAAATTTGGTATGTAGGATCTAATCCATGGTATCTCCAGGCGTTTTTTTCATTTTTTTGAAATTTTGATTTGTAATGGGGATTTCCCCATAAAAACCCATAAAAAACCGGAAAAATCGAACTTTCTCAAAAATGGCTACAACGATTTTGATAACAATTTAGTATGTTGTAGCCCTTTAAATTCTGAACAAAATGGTACAAATCCCTGAACAAAATGGTACAAATCCCATTTTCTGTAAAAATTACGGTTCAAAAGTTAATGTCAATTATGTTATTTTCCCATAAAAACCCCATAAAATAACGGAAAAATAGGATTTTCCCAAAAATGGCCCGATTTTGATAAAAATTTAGCATGTTATAGTCCTTTATATTCTCAACAAAATGGTATAAATCCCATTTCTGTAAAAATTACGGTTTAAAAGTTGATGTCAATTATGTTATTTTCCCATAAAAACCCCATAAAATAACGGAAAAATCGGATTTCCCCAAAAATGGCCCGAACGATTTTGATTAAATTTTATTATGTTATAGTCCTTTAAATTCTGAACAAAATTGTACAAATCCCATTTCCGTATATTTACTCTAATTGCTTACACATGATAAAGGTTGTTGACAAACTTATGGGAGAAAGTATGTGTCAGAATGCTGATACCGTTTATTTATTCTTGCAAAATAAAACAATTAATGCACTAACCCCGCCTTGGAAATAATCAACCTACTAGTGACACAGTACAATGTATATAAACAGAGAAATTGTGTGAGGATGTTCAAGTAGCGATGATCAGTGCTTGCAATTATTCGTCTATAATTACTTCTGATCTCAGTTATAATGATATCATATAAGGTAACACCTCGTGTGACCGGTATAAAGGGCACCAGGGTCATAATGGATAAACGAATAACCGGATAAACCCATTTGACAGATTTTTGAGATGTACACAGTTAAAAAACACATTCAGAAAGTCTCTGCAATACCCACCACAATACAGGAGCGGGTTATTGTTGCATTTCCTTTGTGAAGGCGCTGTTTTTTTTTTGTTTTTTTTTTATAATCTTGAAAAAACCACCCCTAGGTTTTAGAACATTAAACTATAACTAACATACATCGGCAAATGGTTCAGTATATGCAAGTGTTAGGTAGGCCTAATAAGTGTTTTATTTGAACTAACACAAACCATAAGCTTTATTTTAATTTGTTTGTGCATACCATGGCATAAAGTATCAGTTTTATTGTTTTAAGAAGCTTTATTTTGATATTTTGAAGCAGTCGAATGCATGTTACTTTACTAAAACTCTTCCTGAAAAAGCTTGAAGTCTCTTTTTATACCGTACTTGACTCAACCAATAAATTAACTACTCGCACACCCCTAGTTTTTAGTAAGGCCTATTTATCTGATTTCTCTTTCTTCCGTTATACTCATAATTAAGGTTCTACTGTAATAAGCCAATGAAAAACAATATTTAATCCTATAACTATTATTAATCAGATATTTTTATAATTGAGATAGGGTGTGGGATACTGGAACAACACAAGAATAGGTCTAATGTATGTGGGTTTGAAGGAAACAAGTTACTATATAAAAAATGATTAAGTCAGAATTTCTCTCATTACAAGCTGCTTAATATGATTCCATATCAATGAGACAAATAAAAATAATAATGTACCATAAACTTGATAGCCAAAATAAATTTAGCAGCAGATATAATTTTACATACCTTTAATACTTTTCTGGTTACGTCCAAGGGAGTTGGAGCGATTCATCTGTTTGATCAGTTCTGAACATGCACAAGAAATAAAAAAAATCATGCCTTTGCCACAAAACCCATGCTACTACAACAGTCCCACTTTTTGTAGCACTCTTAAATGTAATAAAATTTTCAGTTGCTCCTGTATTACATTTTCATTTTATTTCTCAATCATACACTGAAAGTTCTATAACATGCTATTATTATTATTTAAACATAGTAAACTAAACGATGGGATGAACTTTTTATTAATTTTTCATTCTAGATTTTAAATATAGACATAATATTAACTGTCACCAAGACTCTGAAACAAGAACTACATAAAAAAAACTTACTGCTTTTCAAAGTTTTCATTACAAAAAATAATTTAACAAGATGGTCTGAAGTGTAAATGATGAGCTATTGTTGTAGTATCCACTCAAAACTGTGCTTTGTAAGGTTATTTGCAAGTACACTGAGAACCTGCTTCACCCTGGTTCAGTACAAGTCTCTATATACAGGGTGAGTTTTAATTGTCCCCCCCCCCCAACTTTTTCCTCCATTTTTTTAAATATCAATCCCAGACCACTTCCAAACATTGTTGGGTAGTAAGTACTTCATTTTGACAAGGTGGTCGTTTCCGGCCGCCATCTTGGATCCGCCATATTTGATGCAAAAAATTTTTTTTTAAATGTAAAGGTGGGGTTGTGACCCATTATTTCAAATTAGATTTTTACCCTGATGACAATGCCACAAACCGTTTAAAAAAAATCTTGATTCATTCAAAAGTTATGAGGGCTTTTTAAAACTTTATTTTCAGCCCATTTTAACATTGTGCATTTACAAAATAAGACCATAATCTCAAAATAGTGCTAGATAAAGATAAGTATACACTACCAGTCATTGTCAACATATTTTCTCTTTGTTATGACTGATGTATTTTTTTTTGGCCGCCATCTTGGATCCGCCATTTTGAAATGTGATATATTATTTTAAATATGAAGGGTGTGTTGTGACCCATCATTTCGAACTACTTTTTTAAGCTAAACTCATTTTTTTGTTATCAAGTTTTATTTATGAGATATTGCATTTTTTTGGTTAAAAATGTGAATATTTCAAAATCAAAATATGAAAATGAAAAACGAATCATGGAATTGAGTTCAGCTTAAAAAAGTAATCCGAAATGATGGGTCACAACACCCCCCTTAATATTTAAAATAATTTATCATATTTCAAAATGGCGGATCCAAGATGGCGGCCAAAAAATTACATCGGTCATAACCAAGTGAAAATAAGTCGACAACAACTGGTAGTGTATATTTATCTTTATCTAGCACTATTTTGAGATTATGGTCGTTAGTTTGTAAATGCACAATGTTAAAATGGGCTGAAAATAAAGTTTTAAAAAGCCCTCATAACTTTGGAATGAATCAATATTCTTTGAAACGGTTTGTGGCATTGTAATCAGGGTAAAAATCTAGTTCAGAATAATGGGTCACAACCCCACCTTTACAATTGAAAAAAATATTTTGAATCCAATATGGCGGATCCAAGATGGCGGCCAGAAATTACCACCTTGTCAAAATGAAGTACTTACTACCCAACAATAATTGGAAGTGGTCTGGGATTGATATTTGAAAAAATGTAGAAAAAAGTTGGGGGGGGGGGTGGGCATTTAAAACTCACCCTGTATGTAAACTATGAACCCTCTCCTTTATTATAATGATTCTGAACTTTTTGAAAAATTTATCTAAAATAATTTTTAATAATAGACAAGAAGGAATAGAATTCCAGAAAATGAATCATGAGTAGTTAAATAAAAACCAAAAGTTTTTACAAAAATAAAATATTTATTTTTAAGGATTATAAGATAAATAAAATAAAAACATAAATCGTGCATAAAACACATCGTAACCCCAGAAGTGCCATTTTTTTCTCCAGAACTTAAATATCAATTTAATAACTTTACTATCCTCTAAGACAGATTCTTTATAAGTATTAAAACATAAATATTTAAACTTCCGAACAATCTTGGAACACACTGTGAATTTTAATATTAAAAAGCACACAGAAAATATGTATACACAACAATGTCAGTATTTTGAAAATAATTAAATTTAACTTAAACAGAATATTGCTTAACTATAATTGGTTCAATAAACCACGTGCTCCTCACGTTATTACAGACTCTTGTCAGGTTGGTGATAACATGTTTACAGGGTGTCCAGCAAATGGGCTCGGCCGAATTCCCGCATATTTCCCGAGTAACTTCAATTTTTCCCCAGGCATTTTTTAGGGTAAATTTAGCAAAAGTTAATCAAATTGAATATAGACACTCACGCAAGCACGCAAATCGCAAAACCCCTTAAAAACATGCCCACATCACCACTTAACAAAGCCCATCTATGTGGCAGAAGAGGTAAAGCCTCTAGCTGGGGTAGCGGTTAAGGGTGCCGTTGGGAAGGGTGGCCACAAGTGAGAAATTATATGAGTTGTGGTAGTGGCTTTAAATGCCGTAGTGCGTAGCGGTTAACCTCGTGAGCGGCCAGGTTTTATTATGTAAACATTACACGCAAAACAGATCATGAGACGGAAAACTTTAATTTAATCAATGCTGGTATTTAAATTAAATATCAACAACATACAACTTTCTCATTGATATCACATATTCCAAAGAAAACTACACTGTTAAGCTGTTAAGCAAAAAAACATCTTTTTGCCAACCTTATAGTGGATAGTTATAGCAATTTAAACATTTTGTCTATCTTTATAGCCTATTCAGTACGAGCAAAATTCTTGTATGATGCGAGAAATTAGTAAAATACCATTGTAATGACATAAACAACACTGTTTGTACATGTAGGTAAGTTAAAAAATTTTCAAGGGTCAGTGACGAGGGTACAAAGGTATTTAGGCATGTTAGATTGGTCTTTGGAATTGAATAAATCATCAATAATATTACAAAGCACTTGGGAGTTGGGAGAGTTGCACGGAATTGTGTGTTAGGGGTGAGCTGGTGATTTGTTGCACCATTTTGATGGACGTCGCAAATTAATTAGTTATTTACAATAATTAGTAAATTTGGAGCAAACTTTACACTGTACCGTTCACATATACTACAGTTACGACGAGTGAAATTCTATGTTACAATTATTTTGAATATTAAAACCCCACTAATCAAAAGGATTTAAGACCGGGTTTGAAATTCCATGAAAGTAATTTTCCTTAAAACGAAGCTAGAAATGTGTTAGAATTAAAAGCTTGCTGCATTGTAAATTATATTTTCTTATGTAGAGTCGTGAGGGATACCCCTACACTTGGCGTCCATCTTGCCGTATGTTTGCCTATTGTTCAACTGCGATAAACATAGAAGCGCTGGATCAAGGTCAATCCCCTCACCCTTGCATTGCATCAGGTTTTACTTTAGTTGGAATTTTTATAATAAGTTAAGATTGGCCGTGTTTTAAGAGTATGCCTAATAGATTAAAATCACAATGATTAAATATGGTCTACACTAAGGAAAAGGAAATAGGGGGACTGAAATTCATGTAATTTTCGCTGTAAACAATAACCAACATTTTTGTGTTTTGTACAATTGTACAACGGTTAGGCCCTAATGACGTCCTAATCAGAAAACAAAACCTATTCTCTCACTGCACTCTCTTTCACTATCTTTTCAAGCGATTCTCAACCTTCTTTTCTATTACGCCTAAGGAGAGTGCAGTGCAAATAACACGCAATATTCGCCCTTCTGATATTGGACATATGGTTCATATTGGACGAGCACAGATGACAAACGCTGCAGTTCAAGCGATATTAGACTTTCCGTCGGTTATCACACCACCGACAAAAAGCCTTAAAATACTTCATAGAATGTAGGATTAATGAATAATTATTACATTGCATTCATACACTAGACATACAAAATTGATTAATTAAGAATAGACACAACATCTTTTGTCAATGGATGAAACTGTGAAATTATGTAAAGAGTATGTCTAAATCGCTTCGAGGTTTTGTCACTTCCAACTTATATAAAAATAAGTTTAGATACCTTGACAACATACAAATCATACATTATCGTTAGGGATGGACGAGATTGGATTTTTAGTTCGAGACGAGACGAGACAAGATTTTTTATTTCTCATAAAATTTTGAGACGAGATCAAGACGGGATTTCCCTTCTCATACACAACGGGAAATGCACGTTCAAAATTTTTACCTGATTTTGTAACATTGTTAGATGACTGTTTAAATACAACAATAATGATTATAGGCAAGAATATTTACAATCTTTTATTTTAAAATCAGCATAACATTTTTTTATTAATCACGCCTAACTTATTAAAAATGCCTACGATTAGGAAACATAGTGATATCAGTTAGGATAGAGTTCAACTTATCCTAAAATAAAATAAATCATAAAATAAAAGCAATATTAATATTTATAAAATAGTTAGGTACTTGTTTTGACTATAGTAATAAAACATTCCTCAGACTGCTTACACAAATGTTACAAAACTTCTCAAATGTTATTAAAGTAATATTATTAAAATAATTAAAGTAATAATTACATTTAAAGTATAAATTAAATAAGAACTCCTTCGCAAAGGAAACGCAACTACAACACGCTCCTGTATTGCGGGTATTGCATGGACTTTCTGCAGGCGTTTTTAATTTTTTTTAATTTTTTTAATTTTTTATTCTCGTCTCGATAAAAATCTCGGCCAAAAAGAAATCTCGTCTCGTGTAACGAGATTTAAAATTTCCCGAAAATTTTCCGAAATTTTGAGACTTGACCATCCCTAATTATCGTGTTGGTTATTGACATCTAATACTGTATATTTAAAATTACCTCTAAATCCCAGAAGTATTGGACATCCGTAAACAATAAGAACTGAAAAACAAAATTGCTTGTCTGAGTTGTCAATTAGACGAGCGTAGCAGACAGCCGAGACATTAGACCGCAGATGCCACTAGACATAGAGTTTAAAGTTGTTGTGTATTCACAAGTCACATCGTCGTTCCGAAACTGAGCTCTGACATAGTAGCCTGAATCCTGGTCCTGGGCTGGGACGGCTTCTAGAAAATGGTGTTCGTAGCATGAGATTTCGCTTTCTAGGCTAATAAATTTTTCCGGTTGGAGAAAAGTTTTACACAATTTCTGTTTGACTCTCAATAATTGTTGAATATTTAAAATAAAAAATCAATCCCACAAAAATTCCCACACATTAATGCCGTAATTACAGAATTTCCGTATAATTTCAGCTTTTTATGGTTTTCCCGGTCGCAGGACACCCTGGTTTAGTTAAAATAAAACAATTTTGACAGGTTGAAAACAACATATAAATTACGTTTGAGTTAAATTACTATTACATTTTGACAGTGTTACTGCCATCTGGCATATGGCATGTCTAGGATTTTAAGCCACTCACCTTTCTCAGGATACCGTGATGACTTGGAGCGCAGCATCAGAGTAGGAGGCAAGTCACTTTCCAGGGAATCACCTTCTACAAGTGCACAATGCACACACAAACATGCATACACAAACAGTGCAGAACTTAGACATAGTTCAACTGCTACTTTCAATTAGCTGCTTTAAGAAAACGGGTTTTGAACACATTTTGTATATTTTTAAAATTTTAAGAAGTTCTAAAGATTGGGTATTTAATTTAATAAATTATAAACAGGACTTGAGAACATTAACAATGAAAGTGGAACCTATGTAGTGTTATGTGAAATCAAAATATGGATGTCCTAGCTGTAAACTACAACATTAAGCCTATACATATAATTTACAAACTAAATTTGTTATGACCTATACCATTGGTTTTAATTGTTTTAGTGATTAAAATAAATATTATTTAGGTCTAACAATGGGTACTATGTTATTGGTTTAAAACCTGAGTAAGATAATTGATATTGATAAACCAATTATGACTACTCACAAATTAAAGTGTTCTGTTGATGGACTTAAATAAGGCCACATTCATTTATTTATTCTATTGTGAATGGCAGTATTAGCTATTGTTATAGAAAGAGATATAAATTAATTTTTTCAAGATTTTTTTAATTTGTTATCTAGGTATTTTGGATTGCGGTGCAGCTAGCCTACTAAAGTCAAACGACTATTATTGGCATTAAAATATAAACAAAAGTCATGCTCATGCATTAGCTCATGCTGTCATGCAACGATGAAAAGTTGGACGAATGTATCATACATCCATTTTATTGTGTCTCACCTTTTAGTGGGATTAATGTGGTTATAAAAAAGAGCCAAAAGCAAAATTAAAGAAACTAAACTAAAACTAACCAAACAATTCTCAAACCCTTCACAAATTATCACAGAGTTATAAGACCTACTTATTGGGCAATTTTGATTTGATAATGTTTGGTGTGAAAACAAAATCTTAACACATACCAAATTTATTAATACGAAAAGTAACAAAACAAGTACTTTTGTAAAAATTACACAGCATGTAATGTTTAACATGTTTTTTTATGAGACCACAGATGTCTCATTGCCCTTAAATCAACTTTGCTGGTTTTGATAAGTTTGACTTTGAATGCTGCTGTCTACAACCAACTTACTATAAGAATTTCACTTTTTATATTTAGAAATACATTCCAAGTGTGACTAAGTGTTCTTAAGAGTTTTCAATAAAAAAGGTGCATTCACCAATTATCTTTCTCATTTTGTAACAATTAGACAGTAACAGCAGCAATGTGGGTCTCAAGAATGAAAAGGCCATCTTTCAGTATTTATAATCTATGCCTTTTGACCTAGTCTGAGAAAATTTTATAGGATGCCAAAATTGATTTACAACCAACCAAAAGTGATTAGAAATATAACCAAAATATTACTCTTAAAAAAAAGTTTTACAATTAGAACAATGTAAACTGGAGTCTTACTTGGGGTTAGTAACTTACCATCACTGAGCACAACTTCAGCCTGGCTGGGACGGGGCACTTGCTTTGTTTCTATTCGTAAAACTCGAGGTCCTGAAATAATAGCACAATGACAGTTTCAAATTGAGATTATGAGCTACTAGAGTGTCTTTTAGTATAGGTTATGTTCTTGCAAACTTAACCAAAACTTAGCAAAACCTTGAGTGCAAAACTTAGTATATATATGCAATTTTGGTTAGTTATGATATTTTGAATTAGGAACTTAGTGAATGATTCAAAAGTTTGAATCATTGAAAGAATATTTTACTATTAAATCTGAGATTAATGAATTTATTCAGAGACTCAAGTTAATAAGCTTAAGAAACTCCCAATGACAACAAAATAAATTATAGGCTTTGTATTGTGTTGTTTTATGTCATCCTTGGCCCTGCTTTCCAAAAAACTTCATTGTTGGTATTATTATACAAGTATACAAGTATATTGTTACAAGTGAGACATTGTACTACTTATATTTTTACTCCAGTACTTGTAACAGCCAAGATTGAGTAAAATGTAAAGGTAAAAAAATCTATTTACATAGACTACGTTTTTAGCACTGATCTTAGTTTTTTTATCTTATTAAAATGTGTTACATAAGGCAACAGCGAATATATTATTTTTAAAGTAATGATACTAATATTTATTTTTTAACTGATTTGAGATTTCTTGTTAGAAAAAAAACATTCCTTTACAGGATTGGTAGTTTTTACAAAACTAAAGAATCTTTCCCTACCATCTCGGCTTTCCTCTTCAGTTTCACTAGCAGGTGACTTGATTCCTGTAGGTGGCAAGGCTGCAGACGATGACAATGCTTCGCTTTCACTTTGGTCCTCTTCATCTGGGACAAAACAAATACTGTAATTACATTGTTACTACAATATTATTATTAAAATGTCTGCATTTTAAGGATGATTTATTGATATTCAATTTTTATGTCAAATCTATTTAATTACAATGTAAGAAAATGATAAATGATAAAAATACAAATTAACTGATTATCAGTTGTTATGAGAAAAGGTTTCTTAGAAAAACAAAAACAAATTAAATTTATAAAACTAATTTTAACATTTCGATTGGATGATGATTGGCATGTAGTAGAGACTTGTATGGAGGCTTACAAATAGATATTTTTTTACTTTCTAGATACAGTAAAAGCCGCCAATCCAGCATACAAATGTTCCGGCACTTTCAATTTTTTGTTATCGGTCTAAAGGACTACAATTTATTTTTCTATGCTGTGTTAAGTCATATTAACACAGTCAACAGTTGAAAGTGATCGGACTGACGTCAGGAGCAATTTGCAGATGTTGATTGCACTCATTAGAATTCAGGGGCAATCTATCTCTTTTTGCAATTTATATAAAAAAAATATGAGAAAACATATTAAAACAGGTAATTATGGCCTACAGGACAACAATTTCATTTTGATACTCTAAAATTAGCGGTGTTTTCACTATTCATGCAATAACGTTTTTATAAGTTATCCAGCATTTGCAATAATTCGGAATTGTGATAGTCTCGAATGTAGCGGATTAGCGACCATCTACTGCAGGCCTACACCATAATATAGTAATTATAGCAAAACAAGGGATGTTAAATGTAGATTTGCCACTTACAAGAAGACTCGCCACGCTGCTTGCGGATGATGTTTCGCTTGTAATCCTCCAACTCTGCGTCAGAGACCTGGTCGAAGGGGTTCTTGGCGTACGGTGTCTTGTAGACAGTGGCGTTGTGCTGGAACCCTCGCTGGATGATACCCTTGGAGGCAGCTCCTACCAAGATCACCTGGTCTCCTGTCTGACTGATGTTGGCATCCTACACACCACACACGACTCACTGACTATCCAATATAAAATATTGAACATAATAATGTCAGTTTTTTAAAGCAGTGATATTCAAAAACCAAATAGCAAGATCCTATTGAAATATTGACTAAAATATTAAAAGTGTTTCTAGACATTAAGAAAACATATTGAATTGCTATGATTATTAGTGAAATTAAAAAGTCTTTTTTCTGAAATGCTATTGGAATGTACACACCTGAAGTTTCTTGGCTTCTTCCCATGAAACCCCTTCTAGAATGTGAGATTGAGGTCCTGAGGTGATTTTGTCCGCTCTTCTATTCTCTTTTATCTAAAAAATCAAATTAAAAAAACCCATTAATTTGTTTTGAACTGAATCTTTTTTAAAAATAAGCCTTTAATAGACATAAATAATTCTTACATAGCTGGAAAGGTAAAAAAATCTCCAATACAAACAAAAAGTAAATAGATACCGTACATCAGCTGATTACTAAGAACAGTAATTCTTAACAACATAAAATCTATCTGTACAGTTGATTATTTTTATACGTTCAAGAATTTTTTGCTTTATGGGTATAGTTGCTTTATGTATTTGTATAGTTTGAATACTGATATAAATTTACTTAACTAAAAGTTGGTAATTACCAGTTGCTGTAGTTTCTTGAACTCTTTGGGATTGGTGTTCTTGGGTACAAATTGCAGGGCGGATTCTATCTTGACAGGCGTACTGCTGTGTTGAGGGGAACCTTCCGCAACCCACTGTACATCAACAGACAACTACAACTGAGTCACAGATTACAGTAGACAACTGCTGATGGGCAGATCACTGGTTTGTCATTATATGCCCCATATACAGGGAAGAGCATAACTCCTCTTTATTCAGCATCTAAATTTATTCACTTGAATTATAAGAATAGATAGTAAAACAACAAATTATACGTACGATCACTATGATGATTCATTAGCTGGATATTAACAGGTTAATTATTTTATTTGTTTTTCAGATTTATGAGCTTGAAAACACTGACTATTTCACTGGATTAAGTTCTTTACCCAAAAAATACATACATGACTGGGTTTGTACTGCTAGCATGAGTCGTGTAGGTACCAGCACATTGCTAAGAGACGCATTAAATAATCAGCCAACTATATTAGTAAGATTAAATAAATGATCCTGGCTAAAGAAAGAGCTTATCTTAGTCAGTAAAAAAGCTACTCAGATTATCTCACACCATTCTACATTCAACCTTCACTCATGTTTGGGTTAAAATACGCAACTATATGGTGGCATCCATCTCAATTGGTATGTAATATAATGTAATAAGTATAAGGGTTGTGTGAAAAACTCAAGTTGTGAATTTGAAGTTGCTATAGTACGGAAAAGCTTTGATTGGTACCTACAAGAAAAACAAAACAAAAAATTTGAAATCGGTGTTCATCTTCCAATTGTGCAATCGGCCGAAGATTTAAAAAAAAATTCAAAAAACTAAAAATTTGGAAAAAACACTTTTTTGTTCTGTTTTAAATCCCTTAAGCAATTTTGATTTTAGTTTATTTTAAGATGTGAAAAACTGTAAAATAAATTATTTATCTTCTTGGAGTACTTTTTCTGGTTGCGCAATTCCATGAAAATAAGGTAAAAATCGTGATTTTTGGACACATTTTATATGTTTGGAAACATTATGTGTGGCAAAACATTTGTTTATTTTGAGTTCCCAGCCAATTGTCCAGCTGCACTTGTGAGTTCTACCGACACCCTTCCCATCCATCCAGCCAGCCAATAGGAGCATGTATGATATTTACATTATTTTGTTACATAATATTTTACATGTGGCATGTTTCATACTTGCTTTGGTTTAGTCTTTTTCTGAATGTAGGATTCTGCCTCTTAACCGGCCTCACAATAACCGATAATCGGATTATTTGCCCTCGATCATAAAATATTACAGTTTGTTTTAACCGACCTTCCTTTGAGAGCAGTTTGGTTTAAACACCACTTTTTAGGAATTGCGGAATTTCCGCTCCCACGCTCAGCGATGGGAACCATATGCTTATCTCCACAGGATGTAACTAAGAATAAGTTATTTTGTATTCATCCCAAAAATATGTTTCTAAAAACAGCCGCTATTTTTGTAATATAATCTACAATTATCTTATCGCTAGAGTAAACAAAAAATGCAACTTGAAGGAGGGTAGTGGAGGGGGGTTAACGACTCCAAAGTCAACATAGTTGTTGTGACTGGAGCCTCCAGTGAGAGGCTATTATAAATAAACATCCTGTCTCATAACAAAATGGTTGCTAGTATCAGTATTCAGTAGTACAGTATCTTTACTTTTGACAAAAAGTTGTGTACCATATTGAGATAGATTTGGAAAGCATCAATTAATACTACAGTACCTAAGTTTTAAAAATAAGAACTTTAATTTACTCTTGCCTACAACCATAATTTATCCTAATAAAAGTATTTTACTTAAGCTACGCGCGCACTAGGGCGGCACGGCAATTTTATTAATTGAATGTAATATGAGTGCGCCCACTACGGCGGGACGGCCGGCAACGGACGTTCGGCATCTTCCGATGTTTTTTAAAAAAGTCCGGGAGACAGAACTCTAGGACATTTCCGAGCTGCCGTACCGCCCGGGAGCACTGTACACCGACTGGGCGGGCGGCACGGGACTTCTACCATTTTCAACGGGTCTCTGTCAAAGTCGCAGTGTGTTTGTGTGTTGTAAACATGGATGTTAGTTCCTTGAATAAATTGCCTTCCAGGAGGTTAAGAAGATATTTGAACTTCTCGTGACTCATTCGGAAGTATTGACAAAAATTCACATCATCCTCTACAAGATCAGGAAACAAGGTGTAGAACTCTCCAAAACTTAGTCTTTTCCTGTTTAGGTTGTGTATCTAAAATCTTCACTTCCGCCTTCTTGACTCCTCCACTCCTCTGCTAAAATTAAACCTACTATCACCCCTTTATCTACATCCATCTTTATTCACAAGGTTTAGCTCGCAGACTGTCAACTCCGACTGTCCTAATTGCGGATGTGCGGATGTCCCGTCCTGTCCGTCCGTGCCGTGCCTCCCTAGTGCGCGCACCCCCTCTTAAAAATGCCACCCGTGCCGTACCGCCCGTCCGTGATGTGTCGCCGTAGTGCGTGCATAGCTTTAACCATTTTTTGTGTTTATTTGTGACTTATCTAAAAAGTGTAGTTTATTTTATAAATAATGCAAGTACAACTTTAAAATAATGATTAAATAATTGCAAATGAATAGCATACAAACGTTCTTAGGAATTCCCATTTTAACTGACCTAAGCTATCCGACCTAGGTCCGATCCCATTAGGGTCGGTTAAGAGGGGGTCTAATGTACTTAATTGTACCTGTTTACTCTGTACTTTTACTTACATTAGGAGCTACTGTGTATTATATGATTTGCTTTCAAAATTGGACATGATTGATCTAAATTCTAGTGTGGCTCTGATAAAACCGTCTCATGATTGGAATCTTGCGCTTCAGTGACGAGCTTCTTGCACCTTTCGACAGCTTGGGTATGACAGGGAAGTTTTTTATATCCCTATCTGGAATTGATCCACTCTGAATCAAAACTGAAATTTTGTCATCAGATACATTCCGAAGAAGAGCGGGAAAACACAGTTGTATTATTTTAATTAATTAAGTACAATACATTGATTAGGTACATTCTGAACAAGGAACTAAAGGATAGGAAACTTAATTGTTCAATAAACAGGGAAATCAAGAGTTCTTTTCAAAATTTGCACGATATGTAAGTCGTAGTAAAGCTCGTAATAGGAATAAACAGAATTAACATACTTTTTGCGGCATCGTACATCGCTCCCCCATTTTGTTGGTTTTCCTTTTCTAGGGACCGGGCACCATTTCCGGTTGTCTCCGTGTTTCGGATTGGTTGGCCATGATGCTCCAGTCTCATTGGTGGAGTCCTTGCGATCTGTGCGATGATACGTGTTCCATTGTGTGAGCTGTTTACCCTATTCCCTTTTATAGATTATAGTGTTTTGTGATTGGTTATTATTTGCATGTTGTATCATGACTTGACACAACCTAAACGCTCAATACAGTGCATATTTTTTTCCTTCTACTTTCTGTAGTGTATTCCAACTTAGGTTGGGGCGTTTGTGTATTGTTAGTTGTAATGTGTTAGTTAAGTTTTTTCACCTGAGGAAGGGATCAGATTTCAGATCCCGAAGCATTGTTGTATTATTTTTTACTATCATGATGGAAAATGTCCGCAATAAGCCTTTGAACAATATTAATTAATTAATTCTGAGTAGTCGGATGCACTTAAGTTCAAAGTACGGGTTATGAAGATCCTGACAGTTTTAACCTTAGCAAATGACATGTCTCTCTTACTTCTTCTTGTTCTGTCTTCTCAGGAGCCCCAACTCTTGTATATGCTTACTATTGTCAAATATAAGGGCAATTAAAATATGTTTGGGGTGAGCTTAACGAGTTCTTTTTAATTACTGGTTGCACTACTGCTTTCAAGTCATCAGACAAGCACTGAGAGGTTTCTATTGCTCTGTTAATGTAAAGAGGTCCAACTGTTAAGTACTTACTGCAAGTTCAAACCAAACTGACATGTTTGATCTTAAAATATGTCACTAACTCTTTTAGATCATCAGATGGATTTTCTACTCCCAGTACCTTTGGGACGTAAGTAAAGCAATAAATAGTGGAGATTTTCCAAAGAAATCATCCAAATAAGATTCAGGCTCATTTTCAATGAAGCATCACATGTGGGTCCCAATCAAGAGAAGGTTACATGAGAGCCACACTAGAATCTAGATCAATCATCATCAATTTTGAAAGCAAATCAAAATACAGAGTAGCTCATAACCCAAGTACAAGTACAGAGTAAACAGGTACAAAAAAATGTATAAAAAAGACTAAACCAAAGAAAGTATCAAATATGCGACATGTACATTAAACGTGCTCTTGTTGGTTGGATGTATGGGAAGGGTGTGGGTGGAACTCGCAAGTGCAGCTTCCTCCACGTGGTGATTTCTGGGTTGTTTTGATATTATTAATATCTAATAAATCGAGTAGCTGCACAATTGGATAGCAACTCAAAACAAACAAATCTTTCGCCTCACATGATTTTTCTAAACATATGAAATGAGTCCAAAAATTTTCATTTTTCCTTAGTGTTCATGGAATTGCGCAATCGGAAAAAATACTCAAAGAAGATAAATAATATATATTACAGTTTTTAACAGCTTAAAATAAAATAAAATTGCTATAGGAATAAAAAAAAAAAAATTTTATAGTAGAATTTTTTTACTATTTTTGTGAAATTTTTGTGGCCAATTGCACGATTGGAAGATGAACTCCAAATTCAAAATTTTTGTTTTGTCTTTTTTGTATGTACTAATCGCAACTTTTCCCTACTATAGCAACATCAATTTCACAACTTGAGTTTTTTTTTTTTTTTGCACCAACCTAATAAGTACCCCCTGGGGAATGATTGCTGAGCTAGCAATTACTATATATACAATGAATTCTCCAAACGTATTCATGAGCATCAAATCAGAACAGATCACCCTCCTTGTAGTAGGTGGACACTGGACAGTAATCAAATTATATGGGCTTAACACATTCGCTGCGGCACGTCAAATGGCGGGCGTATCCCCAGTGCGGCGCAGCCCTCATCGTCGAACAAGCCAGATTGCCGCGTGTAATTGGCTTTCCAATTTTGGTCTGACGAATTGCAAATAACGTGCGGTGATGTCCTGCTTTACAATGAGAATCCTTTGGTGAGTCGGTGGCTCAGTTGGTAGCGTCACGGACTTTGGGCCCAAGGCAGAAGTGTCGTGGGTTCGGATCCTGGTCACTGCCACAAACTTTTATCAGTACAGTTCACCTTTGTACTGTACCGGCTCACCCCTTGCTTTGCTGGATACGTTCCACGCACAGATCTGTAGTCTATGTGGACGGGCAAATGCAAGGTTAAAAGAGGCCGCCAACCTCTTTAAAAAAAAAAAAAAAAAAAAAATCGACATAGTTCGCCAAACACCCACAGATAGCAGCACTGCTTGGAAGGTAGCCGGTCCCATTGGAATTGTATTGCCAAATGGAGGGAAAAAGACGGGACAAAAAGTAGATTTTTGAGATTGCCAGACGGGGATTTTACGGGGAAATTTACTACCAACCTAAGAAACAATTTACAAATTTACAAAGTTTAGTCTAAGAAACAAACATTTAAATGTACATAAAAAAGTCCAAACACGACTAAACACAAGCAAAAACTAACATAAAGGCAAGCGCGAACTTAAAAAACCGCAAAAAATCGGAGCGCGCCCGAACGAAGGAGCGGCGGCAAAAACAGATTTCTATTGTATTTACAGACCACGCTCAGCAAGTAGTAACGTTCTCCGTCAAACACTAGACTCATTCTGGCTGCTTTTGTTTAACAAGGTTGGATGGCTCGGACCCAAGACATGCGCATGCACAGGACGCTACGCGTGTCCCGAATTCGAGCCACCCGCAGGCAAATGTGTTAAGCATTGTAAAGTCTTACACATTTTGAAAAACCTTGTTGGATTTGTTATGAGGCAGTAATTTTTTCTTACGATATATTTCAATCCTGATTTTCAGTTAGTTAAACGATAGACTAACCAACACAAGTAGACTTCTCATCCCATTGTAAATTTTGAAGCGTGTTTTTCGTGTCTAGTTCATGTACGGTGACACTGGGCGCTAGTGTCGACGAAATTTTGTTTCTATTATTTTAGGGTTAATTTCTAGATTTGTGCTTTACTGTGTGGTTATATAACTAGGGGACAAATTATTGTTTATGATTAGATCATATTATTTGGTTAAACGAGGTTTTAAATTACTGTAATAACGGGAAACAAATTGTAAACAAAACACGACCTCTACATAAACCGTACAGAACTAACAATAAAATTGTCTTCAGCTGTTCCATAAGGATGAGAAATCTACTAAGGGAGTATTTTTGTATCCATGGTTTAACTCATTTCATTAGTAAAACTCCAAACCATATATTGTGGACCTAAACTCTCAAGATTTTGTCAAATTTAGAGTATTAATAACGCAATGGCGCTCTCTGAGAATCTGTCTACTCACAGGAACACAGTATAGTAGTCAAATTCTTTGTAGTTAACAAGCAAGTTTTTTAATTAAAGCTTCTTGAGGTAAAGCATACAAATTTTTTGTAAAGCCTACAGGCAAAGCAGTGACGTAAAACGATAATTCTTTTTATACATTTTATCATTGAATTTTACTAACCATCAACCAAACTGACTGGGGTTGATTAGGCAGCCTGCCAATGTGGTATTTTATTCTATTGTGGAATTTTTATTCAAACAATGTACAGCCTGACACAGAGAAATCATTGATCCTTGCTGTAGACCGTTTCTGATGATTGATTTCAATTGTTTATTTATTTTTTTTACTCATTCCACAGGATTGGAATAATTTTTAATTCCAGCGTTCCATTTCAAAGACTACCTCAGCTCTGACAGCACCATTCTACTGAGACACTATGCCAGAATGTCTGTTACGTTCTTGACACTGGACAGCCCATGTGTTACCATATTTTGTACACTTCAATTTTCTTTTTTTTAGATTAATGTGACAAAGTTGAGATTTTATATGATAGTTGGTCAATTTGATGAATGTGAGTTTAGAGTCATGGGTAAGTTAACATGAACCCAATAGTTGGATTTGGCCTGTGATCCGAAACAAACTATTGTTTACTAGAACCCTTACCTTCATGTCTTAGGACACTAGGCTCTAGCCCCAAACCTACTGCAGACTAGATCACTCGGATAAGTTCATTGGTGATTGGCTGGATTTTAACCCAGGACCTCAGGGACCAAAGTCTCACCCTCTACCATCTCTACTAGTTCACTTCCTGTAGGCTTGACCAGCTTGTTATAGAGAGCCCAATAGCAACAAGTAATATTCCTTAAGATTACAAATACAAATCTAAACAATGCAACATTATGGTTATATATAGAGGTATCAATTAACAATATTTTGTTTACAGAAACAACAAATATAGTGCATTTTAGCGAGTCTCTCTATAGGGCAGTAGCTATTACTATAGGTCTCAGGGTAAGACCTAGACCCGGGATGGATATACTTTTTCATTTTGATGTCTCCAGAGATAAAAAACAGTATTTTTTGTTAAAATTTGTAAATGTGTGTCGGTAAACAAGATAACTCGAGTAACTTTGGTCTGATTTTGATCAAATTGTGTAAGGATAAAAAGTAAGGATATAGAATCTGACCACAGGAGAAAGCCAGTTTTCTGCTTTTTACAGTGATAGAGATCCAGTCCAAATCATACTGAAATTGACTGAGTTAAAACAAAATATGAAATCGTCTGCACTAACGTCGATGCATCCGACACTTGACACCCAAAGTGTGTCATTACTGTCATGAATACACGTCTGACTCTGCGATTTTTATGGTTAAAACATAAAAAATGCCCAATTTTCATTACAACCATCGTTAAAGAGGTAAAAAAAAAAAACAAAAACAATTATGTGTATTGTATCACTGTTGTACTCAAGAAGCTAACAGAGAAAATTCCAAGAACTGTACATTAACAATTTCCGTGTTATTCTTACGGAGAAAAAAACTATTGTAATTTGCTTGTTTATGGATATATTTTGATCCAATTTGGAAAATTTATTTATTTCATCCTCCATTAAAATTTAATCAAAAACACTTTCCCTTTCCAATAGCAGCAAACCCTCATAACATTTAATGTTATTTAAATGGGGAATATAAATTTGACATGCTTAAGGTAATATTTTAATAAAAATATAATCAGTCAAATGGAAGTTTGCTTAGTCTGAAGGTTTTCTGTGACGGTGGTATTCTAAAATTTGAAATATTACAGAAAATTACCAGTCTGATATTTTGGGTAAGTACACTTTTTTACCTACTACTATATTTTTTTACCAACTAGTGCTGGAATAAAATGTGTAAATATTGACCAATTTCTGTGAAATTTGATATCAAATCATCAGATTTCTTCAAAGAAACTACAATATTGAATTATTTTATTTTGCTTTGTAAAATTAAAGAATATCACTGGTCTATTAGGCTACCTAGTTTCCTTTAGTGGGAGTTCAGTAGAGAGGCAGGAACAAGGGAGCAGAGCAGACGTTGAACTTGTGAACAATAGTTGGTCCGGGACACAGGCCAAATTGCTCGGGCCACATAATTTGGCCATGTTTTAACTATTGTGTGGAAACACTTATTGCTTACAAATTGATACATAATAATTTATAGTTCTTATATTGCAAATTTAAATTAACTTATTCCCTTGGTCTAAGTTAAACCAGGTTTCCCAAATACACTTGGATGATAGCTCAGCTAAGTCTCATATTATATATTCCATAAATATATTTAACCATAGAAGTGATAATAATAAAGTACATCAAGGATTGCCCAGTTGAATTTGAGGAAGATATAGTAAATATGTGTTGAATTTAAAAAAATTACTTGCATATTCAAAGCTTCATCAGTGTACTGAACATGTACACCACTAGAAATTTGTTGATAGCAAACCAACCCCAAAGCTTTATTACAGGAGACAGTTATGGTGTAATTATATGCATAGTATAAAAATAATCCAAATATTTTATAAACATTATTACTTTAACGTGCTTAGTTTCAACTAATATAAGTGTTATTAAGTGTTAATTCCATGCATTTTAGTTTCAAATTTAACACACTACTATTAGTCCATTCACCCTACCATAACTTAAGGGGTTTCTCATTGTTATTAGAAGAATATAGAATAATGTACAACTTCATTAAACACATTATTATCACTAATATTGAATAGTGATAATGAATGGGAACATTTCAGTTAGTGTGTTTTGCATATGCAATATGTTGTTACATATTTAATGTCATAAATATCCATGCACTTTACACATTATATTTATTGGACATGAATATAACCATCAACCATCTCATGACAATCAAGTCATCAGTAAAAGAGTCAACAGTTAATTTTGGTATTTTCTATTACCATTAAGTTAAACTTTTGGCACAAAGCAAAGTTGTATAAAAAACAGAATTGTAATCAAAATAGTTATTTAAACATTGTCCAGACAATGATGTGATGATATGATGAATAGCATGCATGATTCCACCACCTTAATAAACAAACCACTAAACTGTATTGTAAATAACAATTACCTCTTCTGCGTTTGCTTCCACCCACTAAAAATAAAAAAGGAAACCAAATATAGAAACAAAGAAACAAAACAAAACATGAAAGTAAAACTTAACAGTAACTAACATAAGGGTAATTTAAACTTTTTGTGGGATTAGTTTCAAATGGTACACCAGTTTTTCAACACAAAGCATTTAACCAATGGAAAATTGTTTTAAAACCATTCAACAATATTACAACCAGACACACGAGTTATTATTGTATGCATATTTAGTCAGAACATTTAACCTTAAGACTGGCATAGCTGCTAAAACCTAGTGATTATTATGAATATACATTTTTAACCTTTTGATTTGAATAAAAATTAATTGTAAAAATAATAATACATCAATATTAGTATTTCTACTCCATTGCACATTCCTTAATGGTGTGTATACTGCATATAGTATAACACAAAGTTGTTAATAATAGAAAAAATATGGTATTTGCAGGATAACATAAAAACAGTAACTCTATCCTATCACTAAGTTCTTATTAATAATAAAGAGTATTAAACATATTTTTGCTGTGTCTTGAAGTTAAGTTATGATACTAACTACAATCCAAGTGTATTTGAATAAACATGACTCATTCAACCTAGAAAAAACTTAGACCTCTTTTTAATTTTATCCATCACATTAAAACAATTTCCTCAAAATATGTTGGTTCCTATTACTGAGACAAATATGTTTAGGGACTAAACAAATTATATACAAATTTGTCCTCTGATGAATGTTACAGATACATTGGCAAAAAAGAAAACTATAGTTCAAGAAATAACATCCCTTTATTAAAGCATAAGGTCTACAAATTTAAAAAGCATGCATACATAGAGTACACACACTAACACTAACACTTGTCTTTATACTAATGACACTTACTATACCAAATCAAATAGCCTATAGTGTATTTATGATTTGTTTATTTATTTAAATTCATGCATTTTATATCATATGACATTGTGTTTGCCGTTACAATTTTAGTTTATTTCAAATTACATATTCTATTGAGTGAAATGAAATAATGTCTTTGTTCCTAATAGACTTTGATTTACTTGTTATTGAACCAAGTAGTAATACAAGCAAAAACTCTTTTTAATATGGCAAAAACCTTACTTCAGTTTTGGTATCCATATTCAAATGATAGAAAGCTTACCACTTCTCAGTCATTTTAAAATGCAATGCAATAGAAACAAAGATGTAAAAAATCTATAATTGAAGTGTTTATAGGTTATACAATTATCTCAAGACTTTAAGCGATCCCAAAAGTTGATAGTAAGGCCAAAAATGATCTTATTGATACTTGAAAGAGATATGCATTCTGACATTTCAACAGAAATAACAATTCTGAATTGTATTACTGTTTATTATGACATTTGATTTACTATGGTGTTCAAACTTGAATTTAATAATCAAGTACAGTAGAGTTAGTAAGCTAAGATTAATATTAGACAATACAAATTAGAAAAAAAAATTAGCCTAACTAGCAAAAACGTCCATAGTCCAAATCTCTGCACTGAATGGCTAAATTTAAATCAATATGTGTTCTTTAGTCTAGGAGAGGGTGAGTAGTTGAATGTTGAGTAGTAACTCAACTTTTACTGATAATTGAGCAACAGTCAAGTGATTGTTGGGGAACAATAATTATGCTATCAACAAATTTAAATAAATATTATACATGCATATTTTTTTCAATTGATGATATTATTTTTATGTTGATGACATAATTAAGTGCTATTTCTCAATTATTTAAATCTTATTGCTAAACTGTTGCTTTGTTTGAATTAAAGTTTGAATTGATTCATCAAAGATATAAGCCAACATTTCGTTCATGAATGCTAACATGCACTGAACATAAACTGACTGCTTTATTAAAAGAATAACTACTCCAATTGATTATAATATTTATATAAATTGAGACATAAAAATTTATTTGAATGGATTTAACAAAATTTTGACTTGAACTACTCGCCCACCCCTACATTATTACATGATTCATAGGTTTACAGTTTAAACGTTAACATAATATTACTGAAATACTTTTGAAATATTAAGATTACTAGATGTTTTCATGTAAAGAACACCATGATGCCCACAGAATTTGCAACCAATGATATTTTTTAGATTACAACCTATCATTTATGCTTCAGTTAACCTTGCTTCTGGTTTTAGAAGTTTTTATTTTCACTAAGTATCTGTAATTTGCATTTTTGTTACTAAATTAATTGATGTTTAACAGACAAGTAGGTTTAAATATTCATGAAAAAATGGCATTTTTTCTTTCAAAATGAGCTTTTCGTACTTTTATTCTTCACATTATCATTTGTAGCATGCCAAAAAGCAGAGCTGTAGATTTGTGCTAATTCATCATTGTAGGTCCCATAAGAGATCTTCAAACTATTAAGGTTGTATTGTTTAAATGCTAAGAGTATGTATATAATATCTCAAATTAAAGGTTGATGATGTGTAAGATAGGTACCAAAAAGTGCACTATGTTGTACAAGACAACCTAAAATATACTCAACTAGCACAAAGAAAATATTGGGGGAATCATTAATTACAAACTGAATACTTGCACACCTGATTAAAGACCATGCCACACTGACATCCGCCGCTACCGCCGAGGGACGGTAGCACGCAGACATTTTACCACAAGCCCTGCCACACCAAAAGTACCGCGTCTGCATGTGAGTTTGAGGTGGGAGGGACCAACGCTGTCTCTTAGAATTTCAGCTACTGCTAGTAGTCTAGGCAACGAAGACAAAACATACGAAATAGAAGAAAAAATGCAAGCCAAAGCCAAATTTGGTATAGTTGTGGGGGTAGGGTCCTTAAACAACATATTTAAATTTAAAATAATGATCGGTGGGGGTGACGCTAAGGGGGCTAGGGGGCTCTTAATGCCCCTTTTTACTTTCTCCCCCTATACATCGTATATGGAGAAAGTATTGTTTACGTCAAAAATTTTTGAGTTTGAGTTTTGAGTGGATATATCCGTTTCAGGTCCCCCTGAACCCAAAAAAGTGGTTTTCGAACTGATGTCTGTGTGTGTCGATGTGTACAGAACTACATACCACACTTGTTGTCCGATTTTAATGAAATTTGTATGTACTAATCCATGGTATCTCCAGGCGTTTTATTACATTTTTTCAAAATTTGTATTTTTAAATGTAATTTTCCCAGAAAAATAACCCATAAATAAAAGGAATAATTGAGTTTTCTCAAAAATGGCCTGAACGAATTTGATAAGATATTAGTATGTTATAGTCCTTTAAATTCTGAACAAAATGGTACAAATCCCATTTCCGTAAAAATTACGGTTTTCCCATAAAAAACCCATAAAATAACAAAAAAACGGATTTTAGAAAAAAAGCCGGTTTTGATTGAAGTTAGTATGTTATGGTCCCTTCAAATTTTGAAAAAATTTTACAAATCCCATTTACGTTAAATTGTGGTTTAAAAGTTATTGTTACTTATGTTATTTTCTATTAAAAAACCCCATAAAATTTAAAAACACAAAAAATTGGATTTTTTTTTAAAGCTGGTTCTGATTAGAATTAGTTTTTTATGGTACTTATAACTCCAAACCAAATAGTACAACACCCTATTGCTATAAAAATTAAAGTTCAAAAGCTTTTGTGATTTTCCTTATAATATATCATAGTTACTTTCACCGCTTACCCATGATTGAGGTTGTTAACAAGCTTATGGGAGAAAGTATGTGTCAGATTGCTGATACTGTTTATTTTGTAAAAACCAAGGCCTTTAGCAAAAAGTTTATCTAGTGTTTATTCTACGTAAAATCATCTACAAGAAAGGTCCAGTGAACTTTTTTTGCTAGGATTATTACTTATAGAGATATATGGAGGAGAGAACATGGAAATCAGTATTTTAAATATATTTTTATTAGGGCTTACTAATAATGTGAATTTATGTTCGAGGTATACCTCTACGCATATGCTAGACAACACTGACAGTAGTCTCAAAAAATTGCTCAGCAAGCGGTCGTGGCGGACACAACCGCATGCCCGGGGCTGTGTGACTAGTCCCATTTGTTAACATGGTGAGCAATTTTTAAACTTCGCGCCTGCCGCGGGAGCGAGTTTGGTGTGGCATGCTTAAAAGGACTTGTATGGTAAAATTGTCAAGAAAAATTAACAGGTTCACTTAAATCTCGATTGACACAATTTTAAACAAGCCTGCAATGCCTTGTGTGTAAAAATCTTGAACTTTTTAAAAATCACAATACAGTTGAAAGAGTAATAGGGAATATATATCACAGAAATATTTTGGAATGTGCAATGACAAATAAAGTATATAATTGTATTGAAAGAAAATAAACTAACGATTTTCAATAAATAGACTTAGCAAACCATAAACATATTATCTAAGAATCTTACCCTTTTTATAATGCTAACAAAGGTAACACATCTATAATAATTTTGTAAATATATATAGGCTAAAACACTTATTTATAATATATAAATTTATAGACTATAAATTATATAAAGTAAGCTCGAGTAAAAATAAGACTGGAAGCTAGTAAACACACAGGAATATTAAAAAAGAAATAAATGAAAGTATATTCATAATAATCACTAATGGTATGTTGGTATTTAGTGAACATAATTTTAGTAAGAAATCACTCTTGAGTTATCAATTCACTTCTAAATATAATTTATAAAAGCTGGAATGTTACAGTTACTACAGAAAACTATAAAAACTTAATTCTGTTGTTTGTTTTCAAAAGTAATGACTTCTACCTTAGTGATCTTCTTGGGATCTGGAGTTCCAGTCTCCAATATCTCCACCTTCTGATACACGTTGGGAGAGTTGAGCCAACGTGTTCTGTCATTGCTCTTGCGTCCGTCCACATACTTCTTCCAGTTACTGCAAACAGAAGCTTCTAGTTTAACTAGGCTAACTGCAATTCATTTTTATAAGTCATCTAAAATATTGAATATACGTTTGATAGTTTGCAATCCAACTAAGAAGGATGCACAAAACTTTTATCTTTGGTGAAATAGATTGCCTAGGGACTGAATAGAACTGAATACATTCTGATTATGCTGAATAATTACATATACAATGTCTCTGAATTGAATTCTGTATCCGACAATTATCAAATGACTAACTTTAAATGTATTAGTTGATTGAAGGTAGCAGAAAGTATGTACTTATTGTCAGTATTAAATTTGTAATAGAACACGAGTACTGTACAAACACTTACCCATGCTTGTACATCTCTTCTTCTTCCAGAAGGTATCCTAGAGATGAGACAGCGGGTGGGACTTCTACATCGTTGCGGGGTTTGGGAGGGTCTCCCTTGACCAGCGGCTGCCTGTAGATATACCCCGTCCTGAACCCCTACAACAGACACCACTAGTAAACATTACAGCTCCAAATATGACAGGCCACACCTCTTGCTTGCACTGCCATTCGTTTATGTTTGTTATACAGTGTCCTCAAAAGAGTCATATATGAATGTATGTCCAACAATGCATATTTTTCCAGCTATCCTCCATTTTGTTTTTATACATAAACTAGGGACTGGGTCGATTCCAATAAAGATACCCGACTTTTCTGCAAAAATCCACGAGATCAAAAGATTACCTCTAATGCTTTTTTTTTAGTTTTTTCAAAATATTTTTGAGATAATAGGGTGTTTTTCAAGTATGGAAAAACTAATGCAGCAATTAAAAAAATTACCAAGATATTTTAATTCTAAACCCTTCTAAATACATAACTGCCTTATCAAAAGTAGTAATGAAAGAAAATACTATTATAACCAGGGTGCACCTCCCTGATATTTTCAGCCAAGCCAAACTCTAGGTAAAGTTGAATGTTGTTACATAAAATAGTTAATTTGTGAAATCGTGGTCACCAGTGACCATTGAAGCTATCCAGGAAGATGAATTACGTTTGGATTTCATCGGTTAACTTAATATTAATTTCGTTCAAGAAAACGCATGTACTGTAAATGTAGACCTTACAGTGGAAGAAAAAAAAACCAGGATTTTTCAGACAAGTAGGTTTAATTCTATAAAAAAGTCTGAAAACCTAAGAAAGTATTACTTGATGAGATACATGCTAAAGCTTTGTTGTGTTTACATTTAGTAAAAATAATTCAAAACTAAATAATTCTGTCACTGGTTGTCAGTCGTGAATGCTGTCTGCAGGACGCAGGTTGATGCGTTGACAGTAGCCGGTAGGCTAGGCGCTAGTTGTCAACCGTCAACGACTCCATGCACAAAATATCCCTAGCGCAATAAAAAATTCCCTTTTCCAGAAACCTCGCTCTTTTCGTGGATTTTGCAAAACCAGGACAATATTGTGTGTCGAGATGCCTTTTGGGGATACTGGGAAATGGAGATTAAACCGGTGACAGTCCCGGTTTTCTGGGACGTATGGCAACCCTATCCAGGCTAGGCTAAGGGGTTGCGGCATTATCACTTAGATAAAATCCATTGGTGATTTCGCGGGATTTGAACCCGGGACCTGATGAACCGAAGTCCCAAGCTCTAACCACTAGGCCAGCTTGCTCCCCTTCTGGAAACATAGTGATACCATTACTTATGCTAATCATAAGAGCTTAGTGTGAGACATTTTAATAGCACTGTAGGAACTTACTGCATTGTCCATCATGCGCATTAAAGCTTCATACTCGAGTCCACCAACCCTGAATCGTTTCTCCTTCTTGTCGATTTGAGAAGGAGGAGGGGCAGTACCTTCGGGGGCATTTCTCGCAGCATCGTATATCTGTTTCCTCGTCTCGTCAGGAATTAATTGCAGGTTTTCAATGCCTATTGGCATTAACTTCAACTAAAAAATCAAAATATCTTTAGAAATTACTGTAGCTACTTCCTAATACAAAAATAATTTAACGTCATTTAAACAACACAGAGACAATAGTTTGATTACACAGAACAAGTTAACAACCTACTCACTGTCAAATTTACAAATTGCCTTTGAAATAAAGTGACTAATTATTGATTAACAGAAGGTAAACTAATCCTTCCACAGCAATCCTGCAGACAATGCAATTTCAATTTGTCTGATAGATTTTTACTATAGACCTAATATTTCCAAAACCAAAATAATTATTTTGGGACTATGTGCTAAAGCTGATTTAGATCCGAAAACTTAATTTTACAGTTTTTAAAAGGCAAACTATAAATAATTCAACTTATAAGGTTACAATATAACCCCTCATAACCGACCACGGCATAACCAACTCCTCGAGACCTGGTGTCCAACTGTCTACTTGTTACCGGATAGCCAATAGCACCAAACGTGTTTGGTTAACCTAAAGGCCGCACCGGTGGTGAAGATGAATACCAGTGTCATAGAGACATTCTCACAGCTTTTACCTTGATCGCGGGAGACGATTCCCGGTGATACCGACAGCACAACATATGCTGGCGGATGTTTCCGTAATCACAGGAAACGTTGACCAGTGTTGCTGATATTACAAGATATGCTGACGGATGTTGCCATGACCGCAGGAGACAATTGCTGATGTCGCAGATACAGCAAGATATGCCCAAGGGTGTTGCTGTGAATGCGGGAGACGATAACCAGTGTCGCTGGGACTGTAAGACCCACAGGTGTTGCTGTGATCGATATTGATACATATTGATGACGCCGATGTCCCAAGATATGCTCACGGGTGTATCAGTATTACTGACATCTAAGGATATCCACACGGGTCTTGCCGTGATCGTGGGAGACAATTGGTGTCGCCGAGACTGCATAACATTCTTGCGGGTGTTGCTGTGATCGTGGGAGATGGGCTACCGGTGTCGCCAAGACCGAAGATTATCCTCACGGATGTTGCTGTGATCGCGGCAGGGTGTCTACTACATTCTGGATAAAAAATTCATGGACAATTCCCGTACATTTAAGGACCTTTGTCGGTGTGATTACAGAATAATATTCCTGATTTGTCAAACTGTATTGATCTTGTTTTTCGTAGTTGTTCCAGAGAGAAAAGTAAAATATAATAGACAAAAATTAAATTTCAAAATAGAAACTTATTGAAGTAAACAAACATATACTTTAGGTACAGCTTTTATAGTTTAACAGAAAAACGCAATCATTGTCTCCTGCAATAGCGACAAAATCCTAAATATCTCCATCGGTCACGAAAACATCATAACATAGCTTATCCGATGCAGGTGGATTAATTTGGCATTATTCGCCCTGGCATAACGTTAGGTTCTCGACTACTTTTGAAAAAAAAAATCTTTAATGCATAATGAATATATTGTAACTCTAGGTACAAATCGGTACCAGTAAGCACAGAGTAAGCACAGAGATTATTGTCTTTTCATCTGCAAAGTTAATATCGATACATAGCAATCATTACTTTATCTTTGGCTCAATTACATTTTCTTATTATATTTTACAGCACTTTCAAAGAATCAAAATACCCAGGCCTAGGCCTTATTATTTAGGAGGGCCTATATAAACTGAGAAACAAACTATGAGGTTATACAGCAAAGTCACTACAATAAGATAATAAGATAGTTAATAATAGTTAATGAGATTTAGATTTCTTAAAGCATACAACTCAATAAATAAATATGGGAAATAAAAAACATTGAAGCCTGACTGCCAACAATGTACAAAGATACAGAAATTGCTATGACATCATTTGAAACCAAGTAGGCCTACTAGTGATAAAAATTTAATGCAAACAATGATGCTTTTGGTTTTGTCAATTGAAAGATAAAATATCCATAAAAAGGGTTTAATTTAGTTATGTTTAAGATTAGTTACATGTTTTATATGAAACCATAAACAGTTTTATGGCAGTAGGCAATGGCCAGCGGCAAATTGAAGTACAAGTAAGAAGTGAAATTTAACAACCATTATAAAACTATTATTTCCATGATAAAATATGTTTGGGATCTAATAATGATTACCCTGTCCCTAGTAATAAATAAATGTTGTAAAGGAATAAAAGTGATACAGCTTTTATGAGCTAAACTACTACTGAATCAACAGTTCTTGGAAGTACTTGATTTGACACTTGATTGTCGTGATAAAATATTAATGGGTTTGAGAATGCTAATGGGGTTTTTATTGCATGTTTGGTTTTTATTGGGGTTTTTATTACTCTAGTAATAAATTATGAAAATGTAAACAAACATCTGATAAACCTTTTATGTGCTCCTATATTAATGGGTTTGAGAATGCTAATGGGGTTTTTATTGCATGTTTGGTTTTTATTGGGGTTTTTATTACTCTAGTAATAAATTATGAAAATGTAAACAAACATCTGATAAACCTTTTATGTGCTCCTAACCAACTAGCGATTTTGGCCCATTAAAAATTTAAGGACATAGTCTGGCATTTAAGGACAATTCCCGTACATTTCATGGCCAGTAAAAAATTAAGTACAATTCCCGGTTTTCCCGGATTTCCCGGTTGGTAGACACCCTGTCGCGGGAGATGATGACCAGTGTCGCCAAGACCGCAAGATATGCTCCTCACGATTTCCGACCTTTTGACTGTTCTGACCATGCCCCGGTCACATCATGGTCGGATATGAGAGGTTCTACTGTAGTTACAAATATAATGGGGCTAATTCTATATCCCTCCGAGTGTCACGCGTCATAAAAATGACGCACAACACACTTTGTGTAGGGTCACGCGTCACTTTTATGACGCACAAACATCGTTTACGGCGAAGGCTCTATGACTGACTGAATCGGATTGAACTGGATCGAGTTAGGTATCGTTCTTTCCGTAATATTCTAAGCTTTCTCCAGAGGTCTGTCTCTAAGCGCTATTCATTTTAGTTCCGAAAATATTGTAGCAGACAGCTGACGTGCGTGTATTTGTAAACAGCTAGGTTCCCCCGGACCGATGACTGATGTGTTTTATTACGTTTATCATTGTTTTAGTGTTAAAAATCAAAAGTAGTGATATACGTGGTGCATTATAAGAAGATTTAAGTGGTTTTGAAGTGCTGGTTGATGATCCTGAAGAAGTAGGTAGTGATATTGATGTAAATTATCAGCCAGATTCCTAGCTATGGTTAGGCTATGCATTCTTAGCTAAACGCTATGTACTGAAATCCGTTTTTCGCTCATAACTTATTTATTTGATAACTTACCTCGCTATATGATTATATATTTGTAATCCTCATTAAATTTAGAACAAAGTGGCTATTTTCAAATATTTATAGGCCTATAATTTATACAATTTCATTGAGCGCGAACTTATTTTTTTTTTTGAAAATTTTCAAAATTATATTTTTTTTTTACCTAAAAATTTTTTTTTTTGAAAAATGTTCCTTATGTTTTATATATAATATTGAAGCCCATGATTTTCCAAACAAAATGGTATATAGAACATTAGAATTAACATTGTTTTAAGCTTCTCAGATCCGTTTTAATAAAACCTTGCAAAGGGGCCAAAAATAGGTGGACATTAAGGCCTAAACTATGGACACTCGGAGGGTTAAACTTTTTGACATTCTACACTAAATTCAGTTTTCATACCAAATAAATGAGCGTTGACAATAAATTTTGGTTCAATTTAAAGCTAGGCCCAAATCAACTAATAAACAATTAAACATTTAAATTTTTTTAGGTGTTATGACAAGATTTATAGTATAAGGCTAAAAAGTAGGCAATAGCTTTTTTTAATTGCAAATTATTGTATTTTTAGAAGAGTGTTATGATGATTTACCTGAGTTTCACAGGCCAGCACCAAGTTGTAAACATTGTAGAAAGCTTCTTCTATCGACTCACCACAGCAGACGGCACCGTGATTGGTTAATAGCAATACCTATAACAGATAAACAGTTCAATGCAAGAGACCACAGATTAAAATTGTGTTCGATCTAGCCACAGTAACCAATTTTTATAGCGCTTAACCAAATTTTCTAAATAATACTACACCAACCCCTGTCTTTGTCATAAAGTAGTATTATGATAATGTCATGTTTTCAAGAAAAGAAATAATGCAGCAATAAAAAATTCTAACTAGCAAATTTGTTTTTTTTTTATAATGAAATCTTCTGCGTACCGTACGTTTAGACATCATCATTGATTGCAGCAGTCACGGAAACGTTATCGTCGACGTCCGCAATCACGGCAAAATCATGAACATTTCCCGCGGCCTTGTAGACATCAATGACATCATCGTCGTCTCCCGCGGTCTCAGAAACGTCATCGTCATCGTCCGCGATCGCGGCAAAATCATGAACAATTCCCGCGGCTGATTAGACATCACCGTTATCTCCCGCGGTCACGGAAACGTTATCGTCGACGTCCGCAATCACGGCAAAATCATGAACATTTCCCACGGCTGTGTAGACATCATCGTCGTCTCCCGCGGTCACAGAAACGTCATCGTCGTCATCCGCGATCGCGACAAAATCATGAACATTTCCCGCGGCAGAGCAGATATCATCGTCGTCTCCCGCGGTCACGGAAATGTCATCGTCATCTCCCGCGGCCACGGAAACGTCGTCGTCTCCCGCGGCCACGGAAACGTCGTCGTCTCCCGCGGTCACGGAAACGTCATCGTCGTCTCCCACGGTCACGGAAACGTCATCGTTATCACCCGCGATCGCGACAAAATCATGAACATTTCCCGCAGCCGAACAGATATCATTGTCGTCTCCCGCGGTCACGGAAACGTCATCGTCGTCTCCCGCGGTCACAGAAACGTCATCGTCGTCTCCCACGGTCACGGAAACGTCATTGTCGTCTCCCACGGTCACAGAAACGTCATCGTCGTCTCCCGCGGTCACAAAAAAGTCATCGTCATCTCCCGCGGTCACGGAAACGTCATCGTCATCTCCCGTGATCGCGATAAAATCATGAACATTTCCCACGGCCGAGCAGATATCATCGTCGTCTCCCGCGGTCATGGAAACGTCATCGTCCGCGATCGAGGCAAAATCATGAACATTTCCCACGGCTGTTTAGACATCACCGTCATCTCCCGCGGTCACGGAAACGTTATCGTCGTCGTCCGCGATCACGGCAAAATCATGAACATTTCCCGCGGCCGTGTAGACATCATCGTCGTCTCCCGCGGTCACGGAAACGTCATCATCATCTCCCGCGGTCACGGAAACGCCATCGTCGTCGTCCGCGATCGCGACAAAATCATGAACATTTACCGCGGCCGAGCAGATATAATCATCATTGGCTTTCGCAGTTACGTAAACGCAAGACGACGATCGCGGCAAAATCATGAAAATTCCCGACTTTGAAATCAAATTTAAGACTAAATTCCGACTTTTCAAGACCATTTTGAAATTCAATACTAATTCCCGACTTTCCCGATTTTCCCGACTACTAGACACCCTGCTTTCTATAAGTTTTTTTTTTTTTAACTCTAGTCTCTACACACTGATCACAAATATATTTTTTGAATAAAAATGGTAACATTGTTATATTTAATAATCTTCAACTGAGAATGTCAGCAAATGATGATTTAGTTGGCTCATGACAACTAAACTATCACGAACAATGCAATTTAACTACCCCTACTTATGCTAAACCTAAGCTAAAAAACCTACCTACCTGTTATGATATGTGTTTGTGTGTAAGTTTATGTAATGGTGTACTGGTATATACCTTGTTCATTGGCCCAAGATCTCTCGCGAGTTTCTCCTTCTCCTCAGGTTCGTTTAGGGAGCCGAGATAGTTGTGTTGACTGACCTCGCCTATCACAATGGACTCCTGGCACAAAGGTAACAGGCCGCACTTTGTCGATGACACCTGTGCAAAAAATAAATGTGATAACACCATTCCACTACAATTACATTGATGTGAAACTATTTTGTAAAGGGATAGAGCTTAGTAAGCTATTCCTAACCAGCCAATTGGCAACTTCAAAATTTGTTGATTTGGCTCTACTTTACTATTGTATATTTACCGCCAGGACGGAGGGTGTATGCAGATGGATGATACACTTGATGTCAGGTCGGGCTGCGTGGACGGCTGCATGGAGCTGGAAGCCTGCCACATTCACTCCAAAGTTGGTGGTTCCCTGCTCTACCACGGCCCCCTGCATATCCACCTTTACCAGACTGCTGGCAGTGATCTCGTGGTATAGCATGCCAAACGGGTTCACCAAAAAGTGCTCCTGGTCTTGATTTAATCTAGCCTGCAATCATTTTAAAATGATTTACAATTATTTATTGCTAAATACATATTTTTTGTTTTATTATCTCAATATAAAAAGTCTAATTTGTAAGTTCCAAACTATTAGGTTATAAAACCCTATATAAGTTATAAAAACCTTGGAAATATTGAAAAAGTATAGGGAAAATTTTAACTTTTTCTTTAGCTTTTAACATGTGTTTAGGATATCCTCAATAATCCAGACTCTATTACTGCAGACTTTGGTTAATCTGGACCGCTGGACCCTTTATGTGGACTTGCCTAGACATCATAGTTTGATCCTGACTGACAGAAATTAGACGGCAGTCCATTCAAATTTGACCACATACAATCTTAACTATAACGGTAAGGGTATCTTAACAACAATCCCCTATAAATACAGGGGAGGGGAATTTTAGCCATATAACTGCATGCTAATAATGAATTTTAGACAGTAGTTAGGCTTGACTTAAAAGGCATTAAAAAGAAATGGGATTTAAAAGTGAGAACATTGATGTTAAAAAGCAAGGGAATATGCTTATTTTGAACTCCACTCCATTTAAGCTAACAAAAATATCTTTAAAAATACTAATACCAAGTTTGTTAACAATATACGGTTTCTAAATATAGTAAAAGAGTAAAACTTACAGTGATGTGATTGTAGATGTTTTGAGTCCATCCGTATAGGTCCATGAGTCTATATACAGCAGCAAGTTTACATCTTAGAATTTTTTCTCCTTTTGCGTAACCCATACTTTCTACCCCTCTAATATCATTTATTGGCACCACACAGTTTGAACCTAAAAAAAGCAAAACACATTGTACACTTGTTAAAACTTAAACTGTAGTAAACAAATTCAGTAGACGCTTGATTATCCAGATATGTCTTAGTCTAGTTATACAACAGTATTTCAAACACAGTCACATGTTTTAGAACAGTTTTAATTTGAAAAAATCAGCCTCCCTCCAAAGCAGGGGTGAGAGTGTCTTGAGTCTTACAATTAAGTGTTTGTTTACTTGACAATGGTCAAAGCTTGCAATTGCTCGGTATGAAATCTTGGGGTTATTATTTTAGTGATGTCATTGTTTTACTGAACTGGGTTTAAATAAGCTTTTACAGAATTTTCTTTTCAAAACTAAAAAATATCCTTGTGTTACACTTAATATATTTTTTCCTTTTGTAAGTACTCAATTGATGTCTGAGATATGTTGTAATAATGATAGTTAGTAAATACTGTAATTAAATTGTTTGAAGCAGACCAAGCTTGTAGCATTGAAAACTGATGTTTTACAATAAAGGCGGTATTTTTTATTAGTTACCTAATTACGGTTTTACTAATTAACTTCTCACTTTTAATTGATGGTAGTAATACTTATATGGAAATACTTCATACTTAGTTTATATTTATACTCTATAACTGATTTTCATGAACCTTCATTAACATGGTACCTAATCCTGCTAATTTAGAACTACCTTGCCATATAAAGTTTAAGATTAGTATTAGTCTGTTGTACATTAACAAAAAAAATCTCTGGAAGGGTAAAATTAACAATGATGTCATTTAATCTATAAGGCTATCACCAATGTCAAAGTTCTACGAAGCCACTTTTTTACAACCAGATGTACATCTTCATGGTATCAAATATTTGTTATCTTCTGGTTGGTAAACATCCCTTCCTATATATTTTAATTATTAAATGTAAAACAACTTTTAAATCACAAATTTAATCATTAAGTTTTTTTTTTTTTTTTTTAAAGAGGTTGGCGGCCTCTTTTAACCTTGCGTTTGCCCGTCCACATAGACTAAGCGCCCGTGCTTGGATCGTTTGCAGCAAAGCAAGGAGTAAGCCGGTACAGTACAAAGGTGAACTGTACTGATAAAATGTTATCGGCAGTGACCAGGATCCGAACCCACGACATCGCTGCCTTGGGCCGGAAGTCCGCGACGCTACCGACTGAGCCACCGACTCACTATATTTATGTCTATTTTGCACCATTATATTTGAGGGCTACTACAATTTGTAAGAGTCATGGATTTGGACATGTTATTTATTCATATCAAACTTGACATTTAAGTACTTTTGCTATTCCTTATACAACAAGATCTAGCATTTACACAGTACTGTAGTCAGTTCAAGTTACTTTTAAAAAAGTTGGTGTTCTGCAGACGACCGCCCTGCACGCCCATCATGTCGGAGATCTGCTGTAGCAGTCCGGCTGGTCCGTTGCCATCCTTGAGTTGTGTCTCTATGATCCTCTCCAGCTCCTCTCTAAACAACCGAGAGCTCATGATCATCTCCACCCTCTTCCTCCGCTCCATCTCTCTCATGTCCTGCAACAAAACCAAAGTTTACCCAACACTATCCACTAAACTCTTTAGCTATGATCTATAAGAACATAGTTTATTATATTTCCAGTAGCTATTGATAGATGTAGACATTCACCCGTATCGGTGTGGTGAATTTAGCCACCAACAAGAATGAGCTGATCTTGTATACACAATTCTTAACTAAAGATAGAATCTTTACACCAGCCCACTTTGTGAGTGGTTCATTCATTATATTCTATTTGACTAAAAACCCTCTACTAAAATGGAACATACATATGGGATCTCTACTTTAGTATCCATAAGACAATGATACAATCTAACAACTCATCGCAGACAACAACGACTAATGGCTCCGACTTGCACTATTATGGTTGTTTTGTTTGTGTGTCAATCGAGTGACTTACAAAATAAGTCAAAAGTTTAAGTCAAGTTTAAAAGAAAACTTCTACTTCTTATCTATATAAATAAAATTAGAGTTTTGTCTGTACATTGCTTAGAATAATGAACTTTTTGGTTATTTTTACATTTCATAGGTCAGAGAAACCGAATCAAACCTTATCTCAATTTCTGTCTGTCTGTCTGTCTGTCTGTCTGTCTGTCTATCTGTCATTCTCTTGGTAACGCTAAAATACGCACTTTATTACAACTACTCCTCAATAACTATAGCACTGTCCCGCCTGAAACTTATTTTCCAAATACTATACATATATGAGATGGTTTTAGACGTATTTCATCGAATATGAGACAGTTAGATATTTAACAGTAAACCCTTGAAAATCAAGTTTTTGTCGATTTTTGACGTGGAATTTCTGGAAGCCCATGTTAACCTTATGAGAAATGAAATTATTGAATCTTAACAGCTGTTTCAATTAAACAAGTTGGTTCTGTTCTGTGATGTTCAATAGCATTAAAGTTACAAGGATTACCAACAGGGTGCAGCACTAGCACTATTATTTCTTTTACATTTATGACAACAGCTAATTTGCAACCTGGAGGCGAGTGAGCGTAGCGAACGAGCTCCAACATACAGGTGAGTGAGCGTAGCGAACGAACTTCAACCAGGACGTGATTGAGCCATGCAAACGAGATCAGATAGTAAAAATAAAAGTAAGCCTACCGTTATAGGATCGACCGGCAGACACAGAGGTAATTTAACCTTTTATTGATTGTCATACCGATCCGGAACAACAAAAAACAACATAAAATGAAGCTATGTATAATAGTTTGGCCAGCATATCTTAAAATATGCAAACCAACTGCTGTTCGTTATATAAGAAGGTTTCAACTGAATATTATAAGATCCCCGTGCGTAGAACGGGTACACAGCTAGTCATTAAATAAAGATACAAGACAAATTTGTATTACAGTACGGCCCCTCAAATGTAAAATCCTAGCAAATCCAAACAGAGTTTGTTTTGTATTTTGTTGCACAAAAACTAGCAAAACAACAAAAAATTACATTTATTGGTAGGTACAATACTTTTTTGAATATTATAAAATAGTTTAGGTCTACATCAATTTGGAAATCTGTTATTTTTTCTAAGTGTAGTCTTCCTATTAGTATTTAATTATTTGTATAAATGGGCTTTAAAACTTTGTATGCAATAGTACAGACTGTTTAGAAAGTAATATTTATAATACTGTAGGTACTCAGTTAAGGCTATTATGTGTTGATTTTTTTAGAGACAAAGCCTAATACTCGCTGAAGGAATACTTCAACATCTATTAGGATGTGGCGCCAACTTAGCCACATCTGTGATGCTCCTAAGTTCTATACTTTTTAATATTTATTATGTAACAGCTGTTGCTAGTTTTGTTAAACATTTAGTTTTGACTATGTTATGATTTAGCACACTTCTTCATTCATTTGTAAATAAAACTTTATTAAATATTCGTCTGATGTGGCGTCAACTTAGCCACATCTGTGATGCCTGTAGTGTATACTTTATTTAATATTTATTATGTAACAGCTGTTGCTAGTTTTGTTTAACATTTAGTTTTGACTATGTTATGATTTAGCACACTTCTTGATTCGTTTGTAAATAAAACTTTATCAAATATTCGTTCATATAGTGGTGATATTATTTCATACAGATTACACACACTAAGGCCTTGGTTGAAGTAATTCGGTCCACAGCCTGAGTGTTTTAGATATATTTCTATTCCACTTTGTAAAATATGTACAATCAAGTGATTTTATGTTTTTAATGACCCCATCAGTCCCCCATGGGGTAAAAGATGAAGAACCGGTAATAAGGTGATATGGTTATAGGGTAATTATTTTTAAGTAGTTATAACAGGTGACAGCCCTAATAAGTTTGGATTTAAAGAGTTCTACTGTAATTCAGTCAGTATCTAACTTTTGTCAATTAACAATGAGTAATTAATTACAAAACAACAAAACATTTTTGTCCAACACCTGAAAAAAATACCTCACCAATAGACCCATATTACAATATAAATGAGTGCATAGAAGAAAATTCATACATGCACATATGCCAGCTCACTTCATGAAAACATAGCGAAAACCTGTCCAGAAGAAAGAACCATGACGATTCCCCGATCTACGGATGGTGGTGAAGACATCGCTTGAAGGTAAAATCTTTGACTATTAATACAACTAGACATTCCATCCCAAGTTAAATTTGTAGCCTGTTTTTTTTTTTACCAAAATTGCCGTAGTTTATGTAAGCCACCGACAGATTGTGCTGATCTAAATTACTGATTTCTGTTGAATACACAATCTTTTTTACCAATTCAAACTACAGTAAGGGAATTACTTATTGTGAGCTATAGCACCTGTTATGACCCATCAACTTGGCCAGCAACAAAAATAAGGTAGAAAATAGAGTTTTAGTCACTAGCTTATTCTGTGACTGGCTCACACAACTACGTTCTTTTTAATGACAAATTGGCTACATCGGGCTACATCGACGAAGGGACGTCTACTAAAAGGTAAAAATGAGGTGCTTTAATATTCCTTAATGATTAAGTGTGTCACAATAAACTACAAATGATCTACTGATGGTAATAAGTATACAAAAAAAAAACACACTAGAATAGGTGAAAAACTTACTGCATCGATATCAGCTGGTCTCATTTTACTCCTGTCATCTTCGTCCACACCATCGGAGCCAAAGCCGTTGGTCTGAGGCGGAACATCTGCTTCGCTCACGTCCGTCATCGTAGTACCAGCTTCTAAAAATAAAATAAATTAAACTGTAGTATAAAAATGCGGTTATCATTATATCATCCCAATTTAGTTTTTGAACAACTGCATTTCAATCCTATAGCCAAACAGTTGGTGTGAATTATTTATGTAGACTACAAACACGGAAAACATTCACTCCCTTACATGCTGCACACAGCCTTAAGTTTGAAAATGAATTTTAAAAAATGAATATTTTTTATGAACAAATAAATGTTTGAATAGGCTATATAATAAGTTAATTTTGGGAGAAAAATCATTGATAATTCACAAATAGTTCATTTAAAACCAAATTAGGCTAGTAGTGTACTATAGTATTATTTGCTCAGCTACTGCGACCCTACTCACACACATAGACCATTAGTGTACTATAGTATTATTTTCTCAGCTAGTCCACGACCCTACTCACACACATAGACCATTAGTGTACTATAGTCTTGTTTGCTCAGCTAGTGCGACCCTACTCACACACATAGACCATTGACTATTGGATACTGAAATAAACATTCCATCTATGAAAACACGTTCGCAAATTTTTTATTTAAAAAAATCATAGTTATGTAAGCCACTAACAGAATGCGCTAGGGTCTAAAATTATATTTTCTACCTCATTTTTTGTTGCTGCTAAAAAGTGGATGGGTCATAAGAGTTGCTATAGCTAAGTCATTCCATTAGTAAGTCTGTGTATTTGACAGAAATAAGTGATTTTGATCGGTGCAATCTATCAGTGGCTCACATCAACTACTAAGATTTTGGTAAAAAAAAAAAAAAAAAAAAAAAAAAAAAACTGGGGACAACTTTAACATGGGGATGGAATGTCTAGTTGTATTAATAGTCAAAACATAGACGAAAGGATTAGGACCTATTGACCTGCCACGTGATACACCACGGACTCACATAAATTTGACAGTCAATATTATTTCAACTTTGCTATCAAATCAATTGATGCTTTTGACTTCAGTTCAAAATAATGATTAAAATTCTACCAAACGCCTATTTGTTCTCGTAATTATTTCGTGTTTAGGCTCATCTTTCATGGAATTAAAAAAATCAGTATCTCAAATAATTTAATTGTCAATCAAACATGATACGAATTGCGATTTTGAAGCATCATACAACAGGTGCATGTTATATTTCTAAAGTGAAGGGGGACAGGGATTTCAGAGGTGTCGTGCTTTTCCAGCGCGTACTCCTGTTCTAACAGCGCCGCTGTCTAGGTGTCCCTATTTCCAGGAAGGACCTAACACTCACGTTATCGTTTCAGACTCGTGCGTTCAGGGGTGCGTGCGTAAGTCACCTCTCACAGCCTCCGATCTCCAGCCACACCCACTGAGCAAACAGACTACAGTATAATAATGTTTGAGAAAAAGGAAATGTCGATTAAATAATATATTTAACACAAAAATAACATAATTTATTATTATAAAATATTAAGCTAACACAATAAAAACTGAATAAATTGCATTAGGTCATCAATGTAGGTGAGAAAGAGGTTGGCTTGGTTTATTATCACGTACACAAGGGAGAAGAGCTCGATGTGTTGACTCAGGCTTGGTGTTAGGTGTTATCAAGGGTCACAATGACTGGTCTGATAAGAAGTGCCTCGGCGGACCGGGACTGCGTGCCCCCCCCCCCCCCCCCAACCGTATATGGCGAGTCTGATACAAACCGGTCAGACGTCCGCCGAGCCACGCGCTCTCAGCAACTCTACCGGCAAATTATGGCGAAAACGAACTGTTGTTAAAATAAATACCACATCTAACAAACAGATGCTTATCGGTCATTACAGAATATGTCGAATATAGTCTACAATAGTAAAACGTCCTAAAACATTTTCGATTACTATAGCCTATATTATTTAGGTTTTGAAAATTATGATTCTTTCCACAAATTAATAGTTTTGCCATTTTTTTGTATTAATTGCTACGTATGTAATAAACCATTACATCACTTAAATAAATATAAAAGTTTTATTCAACCGATGCGGTGGACAGAACAGTAATAATTCACTGGCGCAGAGAGACATGCGACACGAGGCGTTGAAACGTAGAGAGTCACAATGATGATACATCACTGGTACTGTTACTGTATACATATCCTCAACCAACAACCCGTAGTTGGAGCTACTTGAATCGCCGCCCTTCTATCTTCATCATGACCATGACGGTAGACACGGGCATTGACCTGGACAGAGCAGTGGACTTATGTTTGTAATGAGCTTGTCATTGATACAACTAACTGTAGTACAGCCACCAGTACATCTCCTTAGACGACGAGAGAGAATCTTAAGAAGTTGTTTGACAATATGTTATGGTTGATGTACATCGATAAGAATGATGACTAAATATGTTGGGATTAGTGTGGAAGCTGACAACTTGTGTGACGGTCCAGCAATACAAGTCGAGCTTCAACCCTCAATGAAGCCGAGAGTGAAGACCTTCGTATTGCCTACGTGTTTTAGTTTAGGCCCTACACTACTGATATACTGTCAAATTGTCTTGAAAAAAAAGTGGTGACGAGAAATCGGTTAGCGACGTAAAATTTGCAAACCTACCCACAGAAGTAACAATGTTCTCTTCGGTAAAACATAAAACTAACTCGCAGTTTGTAAGGCTAGCTCATGTACTGTAGTCGCAGCAAAACGTAGGTTATGTCAGTAAGGCGAATTTATTGCGAACAAGTTCTATGAGTACAAATTGTGTATTTTATCGGCAACGTCAAGTCCAATCAGCTTCTGTAAATTCAGAGTTCTGTTTTATTCTTAGTTTTGGAAAAAGCCTTTTTCTATTTAACAAATATTTTCGTTTAAACTCGCCTCGTTTGTTAACTGGCTGCTGTTTGGAGTATGTGTGCAGTTACACCAGTACATTGCAGTACAGTATATAGAGTTGACGTGTAGAAGTGTCTGTACAATGTAGTACAGGTTACAGTACTGTGCAGTTGCAACGCGCCGCGGCGGCGGCGGCGGCGAGCAGGTATATCTCTGAGAGATGACATCATCGTTGCGCAACCCCCCTCAGCCTCGGGGAGATTGAGAAAGCTCGCAACCTCAACCACAACCTACCAACCAATAGCAGACAACCCAGAACAGTTCGACGTAAATGTTTTTGGGATACATATTTATTTCTCGATCAACGTAAAGTCGTGTTTACAAAAATACACAGATGACTAGGCCTATTTTAGTTACCATCAACAAAGGAACGTGGAATGCTCTCATGGCTATTAAGTGGTTTGGAATACGGAATTTGTATCTTTTCAACTGCGGAAATAAGACCATTTTCCTCACAAAAAGACATTACACTATGATAAAAGAAGTTTTAACAGTTAAATGGAAATGGATCTTCAGTGCCAGTCACGTGCCCAGGATTTGGTTTGGGGAGGCTAAGTTGATAGAGGGTGTCTGGTCCGCCCCATAAGTAAACTTAAATTGAGCATATTCCATGTTAAGTATACTTAATAATAACGAAGACTGAAAGAAATAACATCAAATACTTTTACTTTTAGATTACATGTAATTTAACAACATATAGACAAAAAATTGGGGTGGTGAAGGCCCTCAAGGCCCCCCCCCCACGCGTACGTGTTCAGTGCACAACGTTAGTTATGTGTAATTGTTTAATAATATAAATCTTTTCTGTAATAAAAATGTGATATACAACATGCATTACTATATATTATAGGTATAAAACCGTGATATTGAGGTATTTCGACGGACTGTTCTCTACAGTGGGGCGTGGCCGGCACGGACCAGCGGTTAACTAATTGATAGTCAGGACCCTTGTCCGTCTTCCTTCTCTATTTGTGTTACTGTGCCCTTATCACTTATCGTGGTATGTTATGTGAGATGTTAGTGGTATAATTAGTCAATCGCTGATGGGATGATCGAATGATGAAAGGAAATTTTAAATACCCCGCCGCAGCCAACCAGCTGACTAAGCGAATTTCCATTTGACTTATCGGATTTTCGCTAAAACACCATACAGTATTTAAACATCATTCGCTTAAAAAATGAGTACAGTACTTAGGTTTGCTGCTACAAGGAATGTTATGAAGGTGTTTTAGCAAAATGTTAATAGTTTGGTTTGAAAAAATGTGCCAAATTTTATAAAAATAAATCTATAACTAGCTAACTCCAACAGTTTACAAGCCTTTAAAATAACATGGACATTTTAAATTTACAGTGTTTTGGCATTTTCTCTGTAACCATTCCCTGTACAACAAAGTAAATATATATAATATTTAATAGTACAATAGTATTTAAGCTTTAAAAAAAGTTCTCGGGAAAATGCGGGATCTTACTCTTTGAGAGTCAAAAATGGGAAAAATCTATTTGTACATCACAAATGCATAATATAATATATGGGGGAAGGGGGTTTCTTTGTCCCTCCAAATGCAAGGGCAAGGGCAGGTGGAATAGCAGCTGTCACCCGTGTATTGTTTTAGTACTCGCGGCCTGTCATTATGCATTAGCCACACAACACCATACGTCGTCACCGTCGTGTGTTGTTGACGGTTCACGGAGGCCTGTGGGAGGTGGCGGTGGGAACAACGGAGTGAGCCTACACGGTTATAGCACAGCATTCATCTTCATTCACGCCGTTAAACTCTGTATTGAGATGATGATGTTGTGAAGTAACATTGGTTATTGGTTAGGATGTTATCTAGTAATCCTGCAATCGTAGGGAATAAAGCCAAATCTGATTATCAGAGCCACAGTTCAAACGGTTTTATTCACTAGTTTTAAGCCAGGTAAAGAGTTTCGAGCACGCTTGAACCAACACACACAAAATCATTTAGTGCGGGATTGAATTATCTTGTATTCAAGAGGTTTTCAAGTAAAATCAGTTAGAGTCAAAACTGTAAAAATAAGATGTTCCCCCCACGTTTTCACTTCAAAACAAGATACTTTAACCAGGGTTGTCAAACTTTCAATTTCATTAAATATCAATATATTTTATTTTACATAATAAAATACAAAAATGTATGAATT